ATGGATGGGTGGATAGATGTATACAGATCACAGGTGCATATGTGTTTGTGTACTGTACTAAGTAAGAGCTTTCTTTTAAAGTGGCTGCTTCTTGTCTCCTTTGTGTTCAGTATTGGAGGTTGATGAAGGAGGGTTTCTTAGCAGTGGCTTACCCTGTGCTCAAACTGTCCCACTCCCTCTTGTCTTATAATTATTTTCTGCCTGTGAAGCTTTCTAGTCAGAACTAATCAGGATTAGTCAGGTAGCCAAATGAGTCCTTTCCCTGTTTACTGACCCCTTTTTCCTATAATTTGGCTTAAAATCTGTGTGTTCCATGGATTTTTCCCGAAGTTCTATATGGGCAGGGCCTTGGCCTTTTTTTTTTTTTTTTTCATTAATTTTATGGGTACATTTTAGATACACATAATAATTACATTTATTGTAGGGAATTTGTACTTGTATATGATATGACTTAATTCTTTTTTTTTCCCATTCCTCTATCTTCAACCACTCTTCCCCTCCTTATTTACAAGAACTGTTTTCATAGTTTTTCTTCTTGCTCATTTTTCCTTCCCTACCTTTCCTCTTCCCCCTCCCTAGTTGCCCTTCCATTTGAGCATTGTATTCCTGTTTGATAATATATAGTATATACTTTGGTCCTCATTTATGCTTTCAGTTTCTCACACCATAAAAACAAAATTTATTTCACGTGAATATTGTCTCAAGGTACATGCACTTAGCTAGAAATGTCTCCAGTTTATCCTTCTTCATGGTTGAAGTAGTACTCTACTGTATAAAAAGCCACATTTTTTTTTTTTTTACCCATTCATCAGTTGATGGGTATTTAGGCTATTCCCAAGGTTTAGCTATTACCAACTGGGCTACTATAGTCATGGGTATGCATATGTCACTGTGGTATGATGCTTTAAATTCTTTCAGACACCTAGAAAAGGAATAACTGGATTAAATGGAATCTCTGGTTTTAGTTTTTTAAGGAATCTCCACCCTGATTTCCTCAGTGTTTGCATTAGTCTGCACTCGCAGCAACAGTAGAGGAGGGTTCCTTTTTTCTTATAGTCCCACCAGCGTTTGTTATTGGTTGATTTCTTGTTAATAGCCATTCTTTTTAGAATGTGATAGAATCTCAGTGTTGTTTTAATTTGCATCTCAGATGACTAGTGATGTTGAGCATTTGGCCGTATATTTATTTGTTTCATCTGAGAAGTGTCTATTCATTTCAGATGTCCATTTTTGGATTGTGTCTTTATTTTATTTATTTATTTATTTATTATTATTATTATTATTAT